TGACTCTAATTTTGTCGCTTGTATCCTTACAATCTATATTGACTGTTTCCTAGTATGATTTGATTGCTTATTGTACCCTTTGACTATCATTAAGTGTTGCACCTGATGATTCTTGACTCTGGATGAATGTCTCTTTTCTTTTATGTACACTGAGAGCATTTGCACCAAAGACAAATTCCTTGTGTGTCCAAGCACACTTGGCCAATAAAGAATTCTACTCTATTATATTCCTTATTCTATTCTGTTCTGTTCTATTCTATTCTCATTTCTATTTCTGTTCCATTCCATCCCATCCCATCCTATTTAAATTCTATTCCTATATCCTTCTATTCTATTCTATCCTTATTGTACCCTATGACTATTATTACGTGTTGTACCTGATGATTCTTGACTCTGGATAAATAAATGTCTCTTTGCTTTTATGTACACTGAAAGCATTTGCACCAAAGACAAATTCCTTGTGCGTCCAACCACACTTGGCCAATAAAGAATTCTATTTTATTCTAAAGGTGAGTCAGTCCTCAAGCCTCTGCATTTTGATCATCTGAGCATGAGGATGCTGCAGTGGTCATAAGAGTGAAGCCTGGCCATAAATCCTTTTTTTTTTTTCCCCAGCGCCATTGTAACTTCGATCAGTCTCTAAACGAAAGGTTGTAAGTCTAGGGTTACTGCAGTAGTTCCATGACTGGAGAGAGAAAAATCTCCTGTTTGAGCTGCGGGGTTGGACTAGAAGACCTCCAAGATCCCTTCTCCTAACTCTTGTCATTCTGAAACCGAATTGTCTTTTGTGGCTAGCTGGATTGGATCTTTCCAGTCTAGTATGAAAAACATCCTGGGATTTTTTTTTTTGGAAAGGGTTAGAGAAAGGATGCGTGAAGAACATCTCCATTTAATCCTTTTTTTTAAATAAAAAAACATGAATCAAAACAACACTTGGGGCTGGATAGATTGAGCCAAGATTGCAAAAATCAAGAAAAGTACGGTATTGATTTGCAAAACTCAGCCAGTTGGCATCAGGCTAGCTTAAAGACTGCAGTGTTACAAAAAGGGACACTCAACACAACTTGGGAGTTTTGGGGTGCCTCGGGGGCTTGTCTCCTCTTTCCCCCACTCCCCCATCATGTCCCCATTTTGGGGGGGGGTGTCTTTCTGCAGCCCCCCTCCCCATAATTAAATTCGACAGTCCGGAGTCTGATCAAAACACGATGCAAATTTCCTACGCCAGCTTTTTATTCGAGATGTGTTAAAACGTGGAAGCGTTTTCATTTGGTTTGCAGTGGGTTCACAGCGGTGCAGCTGTCCTGGCAAGGGAATGGCGGGAGTTCGCCACTAGAGGTGGCCCTCGTTTAGCGCCTGCCTCGTTTAGCGCCCATTCCCAGTTATGACAGTGATTAAAAACAAAATAACTTCCCGACGTAACGCCCTTCGTGGGTTTAGCAAGCGAAGGAAAGCAGAAGTAAGATTGCAAGCACAGTTTTGATTTCCCTAAGCAACCCGCTTCACTTAGTGACTGAGGTGCCTGTCCCAATGGCGGGGGGGGGGGCTAAACGAGGACCACATGTATGGTTGTTTTTAAAAACTTTAACAAGCAACCCTGATAAATAATGACCTTCATGGGTCTATAAAGCAAAGAAAAGCTAATAATACTATAGGTACTGTCATGGTTTCACTGGAAGCTTCACTTAACAACTGAATTACCGGTCCCAATTTTGACTGATAAACGAGGACTGCCTTTTTTAAAAAAAAAAAAAAACTTCCCAATTTAGCCTCCAAACCTTGGATTTCCTTGTAGCCTCCCAACCAGGTTTAGCAAGATCCTTGCTTGTTTTTTCTCCAGTTTAGCAGCAAACCGGACATCAAATTTTTTGGGAGGGGCAGAATCGCCGAAACCTGGGAGGAAATAAAAGTCAAAAATCAGAGATAATCTCCCATCTTTGAATGCAGGATGTGGGTGGCCCTATTCGAAGTGTTCCAACGTTTGGGATTCAACCCAGAGTAATGGAAGGATTTCAGGCTGATAACAAAATATAGTCTATTTTTTAAAATAAATCCTAATTATTTTTTAACCATTTCTATCCAAAAGACTCTGTCCTCAGTTAAGTACATGAATGGGGGCTTGCTGCATTGACAATTTTCCTTCTCTCCTCTCTTTTTGACCCCTCATTCTTCCTTCTCCTTTATCCTGACTATGCCTAAAATTGATTTTAATTACTTATTTATGGGTGCTCGGTTTCTCTTCCTGGAAACGCTGTGCAGAGACACTCCTGGTGTAACCTGGGTTTGTTTGAAGGTCGAAATCCGTTGGCGGTGAAGTGGCGAGACTTTTATGAGATCCTCTTTTGCATTTTATCGATTTACTCAGCCTACAGCCTGCCGTACATGGGCTTCACAAATATATTTTAATGTTTTCACCCCAAATTAAAAACGCGGTAAAGCAGGGAGGTTTCGCGACCATGTGATGCTTTCCTGATTTATTTATTTTTTACTGCGTCTTGGCAGTAAAAAGGATGGCTTAAATATTAACAATACTAACAACAGGAAGGGCCACCCGCTCAGCAAATTCTCAGCTGCAAATTCCATGTAGTGTCAGGAAGGGCAGCTGGTCAGTAAATTCTCACCTCCATCCAGTCGCTTCGACTTTACCCTGAATGAAGGGTCTTTAAAAAAGGGAATTTAATAAGGATAATCTTCCAGAGATATGCATGAATTTTCAAGTTGGCATTTGAAAGCAGCCTGAGAGACAAGGGGAGAAATACATCTGTAATAAGCTGTTCTCCAGAAGGCTCTTAGCCAATTCAGATTCACCTTCCTCTCCGTCCCAGCTGCCTGCAGCTCTGGCAAATGCACCGCCGGCAGACCGACATCCAACAGGGAAAGCTCCTTGCCTGCCAGAGAGGGGAACCTGGTAAATTTCTCAATCCAGGTTCAAATCTCCAGGGGAGAGGAAATTTCAGCCAATTTCTAAATCGTGAAGATTTTTCCTTTCGTCCTTCCACCTCCCTTGGATGCCCTTATTTTGCACTTTTGCACTTTTATGGCATCCTCCAAAAATATATATATTTATTTTCCCATTTATGGAAGCAAATTCTATCTGGGTTTCCACCGCCTTGTTTTCTCCGCTCTGACTGTTTCTTCCTGGGTGATTATCGGAACATATGCTGCTGTTTCTTCTGTCTCTTTTCTGTCTGCAATGGTGTGTGTTCATTATGGGATGGATTTGCTGTTGCCTCGGCAACAGAGGAAGGAGAAACCTCTTCTCAAGGAGAAAGGCTTTAGGAAAAGAGAGAGAGAGAGAGAGAGAAAAGAAGAATATGTCTTCCAAAATTTGGAGGGAGTGAAAGGAAAGAGAGAATTTAAGAACTGGGTTTTGGGGTTTTTTGCGAGCATCTAAGAGGCCCCAGCCTCCAAATTGGAGGCTTAGATGCTAAGATCCCATCCATCTGGCTGGCAGGACCAGGATGATCCCATCCATCTGTCTGGCAGGACCAGGATGATGGGAGGGGTAGTCCCAGTCGCGGCTTTGTGAAAAGCATCTTTCATGCTTTTCAAGAAAATTAACTTTATTTTTTTTTTAAACAAGTTTTATTAATTTCAAAAAACAAACAAATCATCATCAACCATTACATATTTGAACCTTTTTCCATTATAGATTTAACAAGTCAGATAAAACCTTATCTTATACAATACATTTCTATATTATTTCATCTATTTCTTTCTGACTTGATTATCGTCACTCTCTTTCTATGTTTCTACAAGGTTTCACCAATACTCTCAAAGACATAAACAAACACAAACATACATATAAAAAAAAATTAACTTTAAAAATTAACTTTATTTATCCACTGCTGGTGAAATATTGTCTCGTGATAAAAAAAAAAGCAAGCAATTGTTCAAGAAAATAAACTTTATTTATCCACTGCTGGTGAAATATTGTCTCATGATGAAAAAAGCAAGCAATTATTCAGGCTTCGCTGAATGGTTTGAAAGCCTTTCAGTGCTTGCCCTCAATTTCTTAACCATGCATACTTTTCAGCTCGGTTGGTTTTTCGGGTTAGGATATTGTGCTGGTCCAGGAAACGGGTTCATTCAGGAAACAAGTGAAAGGAATTATCGCACGGGCTTTGCGGTGGAAGAAGTATTTGGTTTGTACAATAGGTTGACCCAGGGTAGGGAAGGAGAAGCTGAGATATACGGTAACTGAGAAGCTATCTAAAAGTGGGTTGTTTTTTAAAGTGAATGTTATTCAGTGTTGCTTTTGAGATTCTGGAGAAGGGAAAGAGAGATGAGGAAAGAGAAATAGAGACAGAAAGATAAGGGGGACAGGAGGGAGG